TAGCAAAAGGTACATTTACAAGTTGAGAAAACAAAGATAAAACTAACATGCCTTGCCTGGCTGTTTACTTACAAGTTTGAAATATGAGAGACTTGTTCAGAAAGATTTGGAGAGCCTGGATTGATGTCTGGTCCCTCTCAGTCCCAAGAGTGAACTCTCCCCAAAACAAAGAGCACAAGCAAAAGCCTTCCCCCCACCAAGATTTGAAAGTATTTTGTCCCTTTATTGGTCCTTTGGGTCAGGTGTCAGCCAGGTTACCTGAGCTTCTTAACCCTTTACAGGTAAAAGGATTTTGGTGTCTCTGGCCAGGAGGGATTATAGTATGGTACACAGGAGGGCTGTTACCCTTCCCTTTATAGTTATGACAGAGACAAAGCAAGTTACTGCACTATGTTTAAAACAATTGATGAATCAGGTTTATCAGAGATAAACACACTAGGATCCAGCATAGTAGGAACTAGCTGTTGCAGATAAATTTAATGGGAATATAGGAAGCATGTAATGTAAAAATGTCTTAAAACTGTAGTTTAAATCTACTTATACACTAATTGGTACTGTAACTGTCCCTATGTATAGCTTAAAACTGTTACTTATTCAGCATGCAGAGATATGATTCACATGTGGATGACCTCTATAAAGTTTTCACAGCTAATTCTAACATGTCAGAATATAGTTTCCTTTTGAGACTCGGGTGTTGAAATCTTCTCAAGCAAATTATGTTGTTTTTGTCCAGCTAAATTGTCTGTGTCAGCATTTAACACACAGCAATATTGATAGTCCATTATTTTTTGGACCGGCATAGAGCTGGTCTTTGAAGTGGAGGAAATAGTTAGTGATTAAAAATGTATATTTTTAGAAACCATACTTGCAGATTTGACAAGCAACAGCACAAGCCCAATCTTCTCTAGTATTGCCCCTTAATGATAGCTAGGGAAGTACACTTACGGATAAGTAATGCAACTCAAAATACACACTTTGTCTCTCAGCTTTTAGTTAATAAAATAGCTTTAGCTTTTGCAGAAATTGACACATGTCTGAAGTTTATGATCTGTCCATGGGATGCCTCTGACTTTCTCTCCAGGTACTCCCCACGCTGGCAGATCAACAGATGGGAATCTCTCCTGCTCCTGGAAACATGCTAAAGGATCAAACGCACTGAATATCACTAATGGTTTAGTACCCTGATAAGTTGACTTTGTGCATTGCAGAACTGGTCATTTCTGAACTCCTAATACTTTCAAATTAATATAAATCCGTTCTTTGAGTCAAATTCAAAGCTGCCTTTGAAGTTCTGAGAGCGAAACTCTGCCTGAAAAATCCAGATTAAAAGCACCACCCTGAATTAAATTAATTAATGCTTTTAAAGTGTGCTAAATAGAAAAGAACTTATTAGAAGAAATATCAGAAAGAAATGCCACTGCAAAACACAGTATCTTGGTATAAGGAATAGGGGAACTCAGGAGACCTGGGTTCTATTCCTGGTTCTGCCACTGGCCTGCTGGGTAAAGCACGTTACTGCTCGGTGCCTCAGTTTCCTAATCAGTAAAATGGGGATAACGATACTGACCTTTTGAAATGCACTTTGATATCTGGTGATGAAAAGTGCTCTATAAGAGCTCACTATTGTCATCATCCAAATTATTATCCAATTTTTTGTGAGTTACAAACTGAAATAAGATTTTGGCCCATCTGGACCTAATAATCCTGGAGGGGGAAATAATTTAAAATATGAGTAAATGCTTCATGTATAATATATATGAAATATGCTTTTAACCTTCTTATTGAAATTGTGCACTTTGATTCCACATCTGATGTAAATGTTACAGTGTGGAATAGAGATTTTAATTAGTTTTTTTTCCCCTGGTAGAATATTTCTTATCAAGAGTATTTTCATTGCATTTTCCTGACTACAGTAAATCTGTAGATTTTATCATAGATTTAAATGCACAAAAAGTCATGGTTGTAACATAAATCACTCAAAAGTCAGGGAATGTCAAAGTGAAGGTTCAATGTGCTAGAACACCTCTGCGCTCTTGTGCCAGTACATTAAAATCTGTAATTACGTGATCAAGCACTATTTCTCAAATAATACAACATCTTTTTTTTTTTCTGCTGAGGTTGGTGTTGCCTAGTGATTTCAGCACAGGACTGGAAATCAGGAAGTTCAGAGTTGTAATCCTGATTCTGCAGCTGTTGGCAACTCACTTAGCCACTCTGCTTCAGTTTCCCAACTTGTAAAAATGAAGATCCGTATCTACATCGCAGGTCTGTTATGAGGTATATTTAGATAATGATTGAGGCTTCCTACTTTTACAACTTTAGATAAACATTGAATTTCAGATAACATCTTATCATGTAATCAAAGAGTGTATGGTAATATATAAGCAGCAGGTGGCAGAGTTAAGGATGATTTCCTGGCTTTTAATTGAGTGTGCAACTTTGCCATTGCTGAATTCATAAAAGGTTTTATTTATTTATGCAATTTCCTAGGTTGTTTTGTTTTATTTGTTTTTTTGTTATCAAAATGAGAAAAGCGAGGTGGCACAAAGAAAGAGCCTTAGTCTCCCAGGCTTTCAATCTCCTTGAAAAATCCTTAATCCCAAGCAAATTCTCTTGTGTAATTTACAAACCCTACCAGCTTTACATCTACCTTTATGTGCACCATTTAAAAGTAAACAATATTTCCAAATCTGCATTCTCAAGCCTGCATTTTCAAACATTCACAACTTTATTTTAATTACGTACAAAGCTAAACAAATAACCCTATGTTGAGAGAACATTAACTTTGCAACTCAGAAGTTAGGAAATGCCAGAATTAAGATTGCACTGCAACCGTAGTTCACCACTCTTGTATGTATGCATTATGCTACAGTCTTCAATGACATGCACATATTCAGTTTTTTGGCCATGTCCCCAACCTCAATCAGTGCACAGAAACAAAGGTGCTCCCTGAATGGGTAATTATTCAATATTTTATCCTCACCATTCAGTGTGTGGCCTAAGTCTTATTTACCTTATACTATCCAAATTCTTTGTTGATTTCAAAATTATTAATTTCCTCATGGGCTTTTCTATGGAGCTCATCACTGAGGTGTCTGAGAGCTTTACAAACATTAAAGAATTTATCTTCACAACACCCCTGTTAGGTAGAGTGGTGTTATTTTCAGTTTACAAGGGAGTTTTGTGGTACAGAGAGATGAATGGCAAAATTGTCAAGTGTCCTCTAATTTGGGTGCTCAACTTAAGATGCCTACGGTCTTATTTTTCAGAGAACTTAGTATTTTTATAGCGCTTTATATGTTCACAGCAGAGCTCCCTTGCCCAGCAGCATATAACAATTCTGGGGCAGAGTCAGGGATAGTATCCAGTTCTCTAGGGTAGCACTGGACTGTCTTAAAAGAAACCACCCTTTCTCTTCCTGCAATTGCCTGCATCATTCAGTGTATGCCTTCCAATTTCTGCAACCGATGAGGCAGGGGTCCTGTAAACAGCTTTATTCACTGCACAGTCCTGATTCATTTGCCTGAGCCCCATCTATCTTGTGCGCTGAATGGGGCAAATGTCCTGTGTGGGGAAGAGAGCATGGGGAGGAAGTATGTAATCATGCAATTAAAGACTGTATCATAATGCATACATACAAGGGGAAGGAAAAAAGTTTGCATAGGCAAAAGTTCAGCCTGAGACAGACATGTGACATGGAACATTTTAGCTGGAATGCTTAAAATTTGGCACAGTGATAAACAACTGAAAACCGGTTTTTATAACGGAAAGTGTTAGGCTAGGTCTACACTACCCGCCTGAATCGGCGGGTAGAAATCGACCTCTTGGAGATCGATTTATCGCGTCCCATCGGGACGCCACAATCGATCCCCGAATCAACGCTCTTACTCCACCAGCGGAGGTGGGAGTAAGCGCCGTGGACGGGAAGCCGCAGAGGTTGATTTTGCCACCGTCCCTACAGCGGGGTAAGTCGGCTGCGATACGTCGAATTCAGCTACGCTATACGCAAATTCAGCTATTCGCGTAGCTGAATTTGCGTATCTTAAATCGACCCCCCCCCCCCGTAGTGAAGACCTGCCCTGAGACACCTTAAACTATAGGCATTGCTGCCAGACCTGACTGTTGCACATTCTTTTTTTACATTTAGC